GACAGAGGAGCCTGGAGAGCTCCAGTCCACGGGGTCACAGAGAGTTGGACACAACTGAGCAACTAACACACACACATACAATCTGTGCCTAAGCCAGAGTCTCACCTAATGTTTGTGGCAAGCCTTTTTTACTGATTGGACTATGTATTCTCTGAGGGCAAGGAACTATATTTTATGCCTCTTTCTCTTCCACACAGTATCTAACAGAGATCTTTGCACATTTTGTCTCCAGATGCGTGCTCAGTTGTGTCTGATGCTTTGTGACCCCATGGACTGTAGCCCGCCAGGCTCCTCTGTCTAGGGGATTCTCCAGGCAAAAATAGAGGAGTAAATTGCCATTTCCTCCTCCAGGGGCACTTCCTGACCCAGGGATCAAACCCAGGCCTCCTGTCTCCTGCATTGTAGGTGCATTCTTTACCACTTGCACATTTTAGGGTTTTAAATATTAAACAGTGGATTAGAAAATGCTACATATCTTCATTAGTGTCAGTAGTATGTTTAGAATATTTTAAGTCATTCTCTGTGTTTCTTGTTCTGCACTTTGGAGTCAAGTGGGTTTGGGTTTACATTTCTGGTCTGCCAGGAACCAGCTGTGTGAACTCGGGCGGAAGACTTAGCTTTCGGCCTGACTTGCAGAGATGTTGTAAGAATTGCTGATTACGTGTTTATAGTGTCTGGCAGCCACTGTGGTTATTGTTATTATTTCACTTGAAAGAAGAAGCTTCCTGGCTTATAGCTCATTATTCCACAGCGGAGAGCTCTTATATTTTCTGGAACTGCATTTCCATTTGGGAGTTTAAGCTTCTGTTTACTTATGGCTGGCTTCAGTGGCTGGGGGGCAAGGAGGTTTGACCTGAACCTTGAAAGATAAGTAGAAGAGGCTTAAAATGCAGAAATGGATGGAAAAGCAGTTGCAGACAGAAGGAGCAGCACGCGCACAGACTCAGTGGCGCGAGGAGGGTGACCTCGGAGAAGTCGCTCATGACTGGGATGGGAGTGCCCCTGGTGGGGGGCACACATGGGCAGGAGCCCGGCCCTCAGAGGCATGGCCCGAGATGCTAGATTTGGGCTCCAGGAACATCGTCAGATGGGTATTGTAGGGAAGTTCTAGTCTTCATTAATTTCCTGTAAGGATTCGAGGAGTCTCAAAGCTTCTGTTTACTTATGGCTGGCTTCAGTGATTGGGGGGCAAGGAGGTTTGACCTGAACCTTGAAAGATAAGTAGAAGAGGCTTAAAAAGCAGAAATGGATGGAAAAGCAGTTGCAGACAGAAGGAGCAGCACGCGCACAGACTCAGTGGCGCGAGGAGGGTGACCTCGGAGAAGCCGCTCATGACTGGGATGGGAGTGCCCCTGGTGGGGGGCACACATGGGCAGGAGCCCGGCCCTCAGAGGCATGGCCTGAGATGCTAGATTTGGGCTCCAGGAACATCGTCAGATGGGTATTGTAGGGAAGTTCTAGTCTTCATTAATTTCCTGTAAGGATTCGAGGAGTCTCTGAACAAAAAGTTTTTAAAGTAGATTAATGGACTTTGAGCCAGGTGTAGGGGACAGGAAGAGACCATTTTCCCAGCATGTGATGTCTGACTGTACTTGGAGAAACAACCCACTGGGCCGTGGTTGGACTGGGGTGTGTGTAGCCCATCCACCCCATGCCTCTATCGCATCCACAGCTCAGTGCGCTGAGACAGCCGGGGCTGTTCGCTCCTGGGACTTCTGCCTCAGGGTCTCCTCCGTAGGTGGGATCCACGGCCTCTTGGGACATCGACCACCGCCCATGAATGCCAGCCAGCCGCTGCGTATGTCTCTCCCCTCTGTCCTAGTGGAACGGGCCCCCAGCCAGGTGTTTTCAACAGCCCTGAGATACACGAGCAGCACTCGGCGAAAAGGGCGCCAGGTGTCCTGGGGATAATTAGAAGTTCTTTTTCCGCCAAGAAGCCTTGCACAGAACTGCTCTCCCAAGCTGTGGCCTAGAGTCAGCTCTGGCATCCTGTACAGTTACAGGAGCTGTGATAACTGCTCTCAGAGCCCCAGCTGCTTGCTGGGCGGGGGAACCTTCCCCCCCCCCAATCCTGTCCCCCGTGGGCAGGCCCGCTTTGAGCCTGGCTCACTCAGAGGACCTGGGGGCCTCAGAGAACGCACCGTGGTCCCGGCAGGGTGGCCCACTGGCCCAAACGGCATGGTGCCCAACCATCACCCGTGAGGTCTCTGGCGTCTGAGCAGGTCTCCCCCACATGCTGACAGCTGGCCGCTCAGCAGCCCTGCTTCCTGTTACACGTCTCCCAGGTGATCTGGGCTTCCCTGGTGGCTCAGTGGTAAAGAATCCGCCTGCAATGCAGGAGACCAGGGTTCCATCCCTGGGTCAGGAAGATCCCCTGGAGGAGGGCATGGCAACCCACTCCTCCACTGGACAACCCACTCTCGCCTGGACAATCCCGTGGGCAGAGGAGCCTGGCGGGCTATAGTCCATGGGGTTGCAAAGAGTCAGACACGACTGAGTGACTCACATTTTCACCTTCACTTTTAACACTTTCTGGTGAAAAAGTACTCCCACTGCCTTCTAGACTCATGAAGACACGCGTGAAGTCAACTTCTGCCTCCTTAAAAACCCCTCAAGACAGCCTGAGTAGCTGCCGTTCCCTGCAGGCAGTCCTGGAAAGGCCTCCGGGAGGGTCACTTCTTGAGGTGTTTTGAGCCGAAGCCAAGCCCTGTTCCGCATCTGGCCTCGCTCTCTCTGCCCGCCCGCTGGTAGGCCAGGCCCCGCCGCCAGCGTCCCTGGCCTGCTGTTCTCCCCCCCCACCCCCAGCTTCTGCAGCCCCGGGCTTGAGGGGCCGCAGCCCCGGGCTTGAGGGGCCGCAGCCCGGACCCCCAGGGGCCGCCAGCGCCTGCTCGGGCATCCAGAGTCTGTTCAGAGGGAGGGGATGGTGCCAAGCCACCCCGAGCTCGTGTGGTGCCTCTCAGGACCAGCCTTATTCCGCCTCTCATAGGGAAAAGAGACTGTCCCCCTCAGCAGTGCCTGCCTTCAAATGCGTAGTCCATAGTGAGGAATTCTCCTATAGGTCTAACTTTAATCACTAGAAACGTTTTTCTTTATCTTCTGTGATTTAGAGAGAAAATGCTGATTTGAAACCTGTTGACCTCACAGTGCTACGCACTGTGGAAGGGAGGCCAGAGAGAGACACTAGGATTTTCTTGTTGAAGGGAGATAAACCCCACCGACCGAGAGGGTCCTTGCAACGGTGACACTGAGATGCTCTGTGAAGGGCCGAGCGAGGACACACAGAAGACTTTACAAGCGGGGGCTCCTTCCCGTCTCTGTCGTCTTTTCATTAACAACAAACACCATCTCACAAGGACTGGTGGTGCTAATGGTAAAGAACCCGCCTGCCAATGCAGGAGATGCAAGAGACGCAGGTGTGATCCCTCGATCGGGAAGATCCCCTGGAGGAGGAAATGACAATGCACTCCAGGATTCTTGCCTAGAAAATCCCATGGACTGAGGAGCCTGCGGGCTACAGTCCACGGGGTCGCAGTGAGTCGGACAGGACTGAAGTGACTTAGCACGCCTATGGTGCACACGGAGTAAAGATAAAGGTGTGATTAAGTGGTATCCGTGGGAGACTTGTTTGAGGAGATGGGGTTTTAGCTGAATTTACGAGGAATCAACGAGAGACGTGGATTAGTAGAGACGAAGATTGAGAACACGGCATGTACTCTTAGAGTAAGGATAAAAACACAGACTTTGGTGAATCACCTGGGGCTTCCCAGGTGGCTCAGTGGTAGAAGAATCCGCCAGCAACGCAGGAGACAGGAGTCCAGTCCCTGGGCTGGAAAGATCTCTTGGAGAAGGAAATGGCAATCCATCCAAGTATTCATGCCTGAAAAATCCCATGGAGAGAGGAGCCTGGCAGGCTACGGTCCATCGGCAGACACGACTGAGCACACACGCGTGCTCTCCACAGTGAATTGCGTTGGCAGGAGTAAAGAGCCCAGTGGAAACCACGGCACCAAGTGGGATGGTGACGTAGGGCGGCCAGTGGGCAGAGTCTTAAAGGAGTCGATAAGGAATTTTGACTTGTCATTACAGTCGGTAAGGAATCATTGTAGTTTGTTGAGCTGGGAATGAGAATGATTTTTAGATATGATTTCTTTATATATGATTTCTCAGAGCCGGGAAAGGGAGAGGACAGACGACCATCAGGACGGAACCTGGGTTCAGGCTTCACAGGGCAGTGGTGATGAGCCCAGGCGCCCAGGGGGCTGATGCCAGAGGAATCAGCAGATTGTGCACGCAGAGAAACTCTGAGAGGCCAGGAAAGGGAGAAGGGGCTACACCGGGTGCCCTGGACGGAGCCCTGGGCAGCGCCAAAAACGGGGAGACAGAGTCAGCGATTGCGGCTGACTTGGTGAAGTCCTCGCCCCTTCAGAGCAGGGCTGGAGCGACCACAGAGGGGAAGGCCTTAGCCCAAGCCCCGCTTTCCATGAGCCCTCCGCCTAAGCTGTCATCTCCTTCATGCAATGACGATCACTGTGTAAGGTTACTGATAGATATTTACATCAACCGAGTCACATCGCGTGTAGTTTTGTAAATAAATCAAAACTCACTTTTGATGGATTTTTGAGGTTTTGCAGATAAGTTGGTTGTGCTCTAAAAAGCGCTCTCGTAGTAAAATCTCGTGTCCTGAATGAAATTAGCCGCTCCGATGCTTTTCAGCTGACCACCCGTGGCGGCGTGGTGGTGAGACTCCGGCAAGGCCGGATCCTGCCCCGTGAGCTCCGGGGTCCTTGGCCGCCGCCGCTTCCCTCGGGTCCGGCCTTTGGACGCCACCTTTCTAGGGTGGCCAAAAAGCCTGCTCCGGTTTCTTAGGGAAAAACCCGAGCGGACATTTGGACCCTGGACACCGTGGCCAGCCCAGCAGGCCTCCGCAGAGCTCCCGGCCAGTGCCGTCCCGCCGGGGCGCTGGTCTGAGCTGCGTCCTCCCCCTCTGTCTCCCCGCGCAGACTGCTGTTCTCCAAAGTGAAGCTGGACTCCCTCTCCCGGGGCCCGGACGAGGCGCTCCTCACGTGTAAGCACATGCTGCAGATCTGGAAATCCTGCTACAACCTGACCAACCCCAGGTAAGAGGCGGCCGCTGTGTGGGCATCGCGTGGCGCCCGCCGTTCCGGCCGTCCCCGCCCGGCATCTAGCGGCACAGACTCTAGCCGCGTGCACCCCCGGGCCCGCGTGGAGCCTCGCGCTCCGTCTTTAAGGGGACTTTCTCCTAGCGTCTGATGAAGCCGCCAAATCATGGGTTTCTTACGCTTTTGCCGCCACGGTGGCCGGTTAGGCTCAGTCCTGATCATCTCCTTCTGCTTTCGCTCAACCAGTCACTTAACATAACTCCTTTGGCGCGTCTTACCGTCTGGCTACTGATTTGTGGATAGACTAGTCAATTATATATTCCAGATGGTGTTTTAACGGTATTATTTAGAAGACCTGAGTGGATAACAGGCCACATCCTACCAGCGAGAGTAGAAATTGCTATTGGGGTGATAAAGTGTAGTTTTCAAGAAGCTAAAATCATGACTCAAGCAAATATACAGGAAGCGCGTATCAAAGGTTTTATTTATCTCATTAACTAATGAAGGAAGCAGTAAACTGTTAAGACCCATTCAAAGAAGAATTTGAAAACTAGATATGCTGAAATGAATTTGCAAATGAATATTAAAACAGTAACATCATACAGGACAATGAAACGTATTGTTTGGGGTTGTCTTATCTAAAGACATCGATTGTATCTCAACCAGACAAAATTGGCAGGTTTTCCGCCGGGCAACTCTGCCCCCCAGAGCTGTGAAACGGCCTGATCAGTCCCAGCCAGTCAAAGCCCCACGCCGCACGGGCAGATTCTGTGGGGGATGTCCGCGAGGCAGCCCACTAGTCCTCTCCCAGTACATCCCCGAAAAGCATCATCTTCAAGTCTTGGGCAGTTGTTCCCAGCAAATGTCCAGATTACAAAGTGTGCCCAGACCTGTGAAGGAAGTGATTTAAGGAAAAGGGGGGCTGGTGATTCAGGTGAATTCAGACAGCCAGTCACACACTCGGAATGTGTTCAGGTTTGCAGCAGGATGTATGGATAGCCTGCCTTCTACTCTTAAGAATCAGGAGTCTGAAATGTGTAAGTCATGGATGTGTTCAGGGTCTGGCCCAGCCCTGGGGAGGCCGGCGGCGGGAGGGTGTGTGGGCTCAGATGGGGCTTCCACAAAGACAGTGGTGATGGGAGTGGGGGCCAAGCGACATCAGGAGAGTCTGGGGCGACTCCACGGGAGAGAGAAAGGGAGATGGGGCCAAGCTTCGTGCTTCGAAAGGCTGGCGGAGCACACAGCCGCTGGTGTGAGAGAAACAGGGAAGAGGTGGTCAGTAGCTGGGCAGTTAGTAAAGCCTTCGACCCTGCAGAGCAGGGCTGAGGAGGTGAAGGAGGAGTGGGCCTAGCTTACCGGCCCTGCCTCATGAGCAGGTGCAGGCAGGGAGGCCCGCATGCCCATCTCCCCTCGGGGAAAAGACACCCATGACACGGGCCTCCACCCTTCTGTGGGTATGTTCTAATGACAAAGATCACTCTAGTTTTTAGAGAATTCGACCTTCTCAGTCTGTAGGCAGCAACAGGAAACGTCCACACTTCTGCCCCCAAAGCCCTGACTCCCAGTCTCCCGGCAGCAGCAGGATTCGGGGTGTGGGGAGGGTCTTTGCCATGAGCCGGGCCACAGGCGACACTGCGGAGCTGACTGCTTCCCACTGGAACTCATGCCTTTGTCTGTGCCCCCCCAGAAATGAGAAGAGAAATCCACCAGCTCTCGCGTTGCCAAATTTCCCCCTTTCTCCACACCTCTCCCACCTCCCCACATTTCCTCCCACGTAGCAACCAAGAATATTGAATGTGAGGAGAAAAAAAAAAGACAGCAGAATCGGAAAGCTCTTTAAAAATACTTCACCAAATGCCTGGGCTATGGGCACCCTTCCTCCGTCTCCCGGAGGGTCTTCGGGCCGGCGCAGGGTGGAGCCTGGCTCTGGGCAGAGAGGACGGGGTGGGAGGGTGGGGGTGCCCAGGACCCTCGGCTTCTCCCGCGGCCTCGGGGAGGGGCCGCAGGCCACCAGCGCCTGCCTAAGGCGCTTCCTGCCGGCTCTTGGAACTGAGTTTTCTCTGGGGTACAAATAAAGCGTTTCTCCTGTGACCCTCCCCGCTGTCCAGATTTAGACGCCCTCCCCGCATGGTGGGGGGCGGGGCACGGCCCTGGCCCAGAGCAGGGCGGGGGGCGGGGGGACTCAGCAGGGACAGCGCCCCGCAGTCCCCAGATCAGGGCAGCTCTGGGCCCGGCAGCCCCCAGTCAGGTCACACAGCGTTCTAGAAAAGGCCAGAGGCACATGAGCAGGTTGCTGAGAAGTGGCCCCGCCTGGGAAGCAGAAAGCCCCCCGGCAGGAGGAGGCTGGCTTCCGGCTGCAGAAGGCCCTTGCCGACAGGGCTCAGGCACCCCTGTGTCTCAGGTGTTGTGTGGCGGGGGGCGGTCTCCGCTCACCCTTGGGGTCTCCCCCCTGCTCCCACCCCCACAGCCCCCCCGGGGGCTGGCACAGGCTCCAGAGCAGGGAACACGGGGGCGCAGAGGAGGCCCCGGGGCATCGCAGGGCCAGTCTGAGGCCGGACCTCACTGCGTGTTCTCTGCGCCCGCCCCTCCTTTTGACTCTGGCTTGAGGGAGAGCCATCCCGGGGCCAAGACCACATCCCTGCTGTGAGCACAGGCTGGGGGCCTTCTCCTGGGCGTGCGTGTGGCCGACTGCCGCTCGCTGCAGAAGCCTGGGGGGCCTCCCGAGGCCTGCAGTTGCGCTTGCCTCTGGTACAGAAGTCCACCCCACGGCCCACCCCCTCTCGGGGCCGCACACAGCTCCGGCTGTTCTTGCGCGGGTCACTGGCCACTCAAGACCGTGTGACTTCGGCCAGAGCCTCGCCAGACGGTCCAGCAGCCTCCCCGCATGGAAGCACTTCCCCTTCTCTATGCCGCCGGGCCAGGCTGTTGATAGGTTCTTCTCCAGCCCTGTCTCAGCCTTGCAGGAGAGCTACTGTTCGTTCCACTTTATAGAGAATAAAAGTGAAGCTACGTGAGGTTACAGATCTTGCCCTAGTTTTCTCAGCTAAACAACTCTTCCAATCCAAACAACTTTGATTCAATCCCAGGTCTGCTGAACATCAAGGCTGTCTCCACCGCCTGTGCGCCTCTCTGAGTTGACAGCCAGCATCTTTGCCTTTAGTTTTTATTATTAACCACTCTTCTCCCTCTTGTCACCACCACTTGGACCATCCATCATGTAGGCACATGATTGGAAGAAAATTTTTTCTTCCTAAGTCCCATTTCAATCACATTAATGCATAGCATATCAATATTGAAAGGAAAAAAAGACAAGTTATTTGCCGCAACCTCAGCTGGGAATGGGAAATCCCATTTCATGCTAATCACTTCAGTCGCTCAGTCGCGTCTGACTCTTTGTGACCCCATGGACTGCAGCATGCCAGGCTTCCCTGTCCATCACCAACTGCTGAAGTTTGCTCAAACTCTTGTCAATCAAGTCGGTGATGCCATCCAAACGTCTCATCCTCTGTCATCCCCTTCTCCTCCCACCTTCAATCTTTCCCAGCATCAGGGTCTTTTCAAATTTGTCTGTTTTTCACATCAGGTGGCCAAAGTATTGGAGTCTCAGCTTCAGCATCAGTCCTTCCAATGAACACCCGGGCCTGATCTCCTTTAGGATGGACTGGATGGATCTCCTTGCAGTCCAAGGGACTCTCAAGAGTCTTCTCCACCACCACAGTTCAAAAGCATCAATTCTTCAGTGCTCAGCTTTCTTTATAGTCCAGCTCTCACATCCATACATGACTATTGGAAAAACCATAGCCTTGACTAGATGGACCTTTGTTAGAAAAATAATGTCTCTGCTTTTTAATATGCTGTCTAGCCTTCTCATAGCTTTTCTTCCAGGGAGCAAGCATCTTTTAATTTCATGGCTGCAGTTACCATCTGTAGTGATTTTGGAGCCCCCAAAATAAAATCTCTCACTCTTTCCATTGTTTCACCATCTATTTGCCATGAAGTGACAGGACCAAATGCCATGATCTTAGTTTTCTGAATGCTGAGTTTTGAGCCAGATTTTTCACTCTCCTCTTTCACTTTCATCAAGAGGCTCCTTAGTTCTTCTTCACTTTCTGCCGTAAGGGTGGTGTTATCTGCATGTCTGAGGTTACTGATATTTCTCCCAGCAATCTTGATTCCAGCTTGTGCTTCATCCAGTCTGGCATTTCGCATGATGTACTCTGCATATAAGCTAAATAAGCAGGGTGACAATATACAGCCTTGATGTACTCCTTTCCTGATTTGGAACCAGTTTGTTGTTCCATGTCTGTTTCTAACTGATTTCTCAGGAGGCAGGTAAGATGGTCTGGTATTCCCATCTCTTTCAGAATTTTCCACTATTTATTGTGATCCACACAGTCAGAGGCTTTGGCATAGTCAATAAAGCAGAAATAGATGTTTTTCTGGAACTCTCTTGCTCTTTCAATGATCCAGTGGATGTTGGCAATTTGATCTCTGGTTCCTCTGCCTTTTCTAAATCCAGCTTGAACATCTGGAAGTTCACATATTGTTGAAGCTTAGCTTGGAGAATTTTGAGTATTACTTTGCTAGCATGTGAGATGAGTGCGCAACAACTACCGCAGTTGTGCGGTAGTTAGAACATTCTTTGGCATTTCCTTTCTTTGGGATTGGAATGAAAACTGACCTTTTCCAGTCCTGTGGCCACTGCTGAGCTTTCCAGATTTGCTGGCATGTTGAGTGCAGCACTTTCACAGCACCATCTTTTAGGATTTGAAATAGCTCAGCTGGAATCCCATCACCTCCACTAGCTTTGTTCGTAGTGGTGCTTCCTAAGGCCCACTTGACTTGGCATTCCAGGATGTCTGGCTCTAGGTGACTGATCACACCATCGTGGTTACGTGGGTCATGAGCTCTTTTTTGTGTGGTTCTTCTGTGTATTCTTGCCACCTCTTCTTAATGCTAACAGTCACCAGGATTTTGGAGGAACTTTCCTTTTAGCAAAGTGTGCTCTCACTCATCTTCAGAGCAGTCCCATGAAATGGGCAAATGTTGTGCTCTGTCAGACCCTTTTTACTGATGAGAAAGTTGAGTTCAGGAGTGAAGGGAGCTTCTCTTGTTTGTGTGACCCTGCCTTAAGACGCCTGGGAAATGCTACAGTGTCCTCTCCAGAGCCCCCCCGTTACATCCAGTGTTTATCGTGTACCCGGCACTCCCAGAGCCAGGAAGGGACACAGCTGTGATGAACTCTAGGATTCCGGCTCCCAGTCCCCCACCAGCTTTCCTCTTGCTGTTGGAGAATTTCCAAGAGAAGTTCCTGGTTTCCAGAACAGATTAACTGTCAGTAGAGTTTACTCTGGATTTTCAGCCCTGATTTAGGGGAACAGGAATTACCGGATGTGTCCATCTCCATGTGTGGATTTCTGCAGCTTATGTGCAGTGGATTTGAGGCGCCTTCCAGCTTCCTTTCCCTAAAACTCTACTGACACCACTGCCGGGAATGGTTTTCCCTTCCTTTTTGCCAGCCTCCTTGGAAGGGGGTCCTGGCACCTAAGGGCAAGACAGAGAGGAAGGGAGGTGACAGGTCTGTCGGGGAGGTGGTCCATAGAGGCTCCCAAGCAGACGTGTCCCAGAGGGAGAGGGGGGCTCGCTGGGGGACAGGGAACTTGAGGGCTGGCCAGGCCTCCCCGGCCCCTTCTCCCTCCTCCTGTGGCTCACGGTGAAGGCAGGGTCTGCAGCACATAAGCGAACAACTAAAACCTGCTTGAAGCATCCAGCGGGATTCTCAGTCACTAAGTCAGGGTGGAAACAAAAGCGTCTCCATTCAGAGTAGTTATTGTTGCTTATATACCGCGGAGATAAAGGAAGGAATATTGCCATACGGAGTTTCTCAGCTGGTGGGAGAGAAACAGGTCAACAGGTCCTGTGTCCTTACTGGGTGATCTTCATAAGCCGAGATTTTGTCTTAGCTGGGGTTTCTGACACCTGGAGTTGGAGGTCCTTGCCTCAGCTTCCCCACACCTGCCATCACGTGAACCCAGAGGCACATTTGCAGGCACAGTACTTGTGTGCCCTGAAGTTGGAACTCCTCTGAATGCTCTGTCTGCATGACCTCAGTTCAGCCTGACTCGTGCGTATGTAGGAAGACAGTCTTCATCCTCATCTCACAGGGAAGTCACTGAAGCACGCAGGAAGTGGCGTTGCTCGAAGTGACCTACCACCAGGGACAGATGTAGGAAAGAACCCGGCCTCCTGGCCTGGCTGGGTTCCAGGACGCAACACGACACGCAGCAGCCAGCCCTGTGCTCTGAAACTTGGTGCAGTGAGAAGCCTGGGGCAGACAGTTCCCATCCTCTTACCAAGGTCCCGGTCACTGAAACCTAGGCACGTCGTTCCCTTGCAATTCCAGCACCTCACTGTGTGTCCTGGAATCCCCAAGGTGATGAAAAATGTCACTACATTTTGAGATCACATCTTGCCAAAACTCCTAGGTGGGGACCTATTGCAACATTCAGATAATTAACTCTTTGTCAAATTTTTATAGTATTTTTGTAATTATATTAAAAATACATACCTGAACTGAACAATGCTAGAAACATTCAGTTGGTAATGTGATTAATGCAAATTTGCACAGACTTTTATGCTGTCTTCTGCTCAGAGACATTTATTGTTTCTCAGACATGGAAATAACTAATAGAATAGTTTCCAAAAAACATGTATCCAGTGATGTCATAAGTATAGGCTGACAAACAGTCTGTACTGAAGCAAGTTTCCTTCTGTTTCCTGTGGATTTCTCTAACTACATCACCGGACGTGGAAATTACAGCCTGCAAACCATATTAAGTTTCATAGCAAATCTTGTTTGTGCCACTTTTAGCAGCAGCTGCAGAAAGGAAGGAAATCGTGTCCCTTTATTGTAGAAGTTGAATTTCTTGACAATAACAACTAAAAAAAAAATCATCCGTAGAGCCCCCAGATTAAAAAAAGAAAAGAATGGATTGGAATAAAAGCATTAGACTCAAACCTCAAGAGACAGATGTGCATCTTTGCTAGAGTATCGTGATGGAGGAAAAAAGCAGGCAGTTGTTTTCATTGTTTTTGCTTACAGGCTTCTGAGAATTAGAGGCGGGATAGTGTGAGCTAAGGTCCATGAATGAACGGTGTTTCACTCCCGTTCGGCCAGTGTGGTCTCCTTGTGACTCACCTGAGGAGTGGCCAGTCCCGTTTCGCAGGAGCAGCCTGCGGGGGGTCGGTGCGGGACGCTGGCTGGGAGCGCCAGCCGGGAGGCTGCTGGCAGAACCCGAGGTGCCTCCCTGAGGCTGTCCTCTCCTGCTCAGGAGCGCTGGCCGGGGGCTCTCTGCCAGCCCCCCGGCCCGCGTGCAGCCTCACACCGCCTCGCCCTTGTTCATTATATAGAGGTCTCCACCGCATCATTGTTCATAAAGGCTTGTTCTCGGGACCCAAATGAGGCCGTGGCTGTGATCAGCCTTTGAAAAGTAAGGCCCAGTGGTTCTTGAATTCGGGTTCGCATTGGAACCAACGGGGGAGCTTTGACCAGCACTTCTGATCTGTTGGGCTGGGCAGGACCCGGGCCTCAGCAGTTTATTGAGATGCCCTGGGTGGTCTTTCTGGGACGCCACCGCCTGGAAGCATGCGTGCCAAGCGCGGGTTCCGGGAGGCAACGGGAGGACGGCGCACTCACGGGCCGGGCTAGCGAGCCTGGCGCCCAGCGGTGTGTCCCCGCGGCGGGGAGACGCTGGCTCCACGTTTCCATCTCCCGCACTAGCTCAGGCCTGCAGGTGCAGTTTAAGCCGCGCTGGGGATGCGGATGCTGAAAGGAAGCCAGCCCAGGGAAAGCTGGATGCGTGGTGACAGGTGACCAGGTGCCAAAGAACGTCAGAAATGCGTTTTAGGGGTGGCGATCGGGTGCTTCTGTTTCCTCCCCCCACCCACCCTCCCAGTGACTGACCTTTGCAGCTGTGTTTTGCAGTGATTCTGGACGTGGGAGCAGCCTCTTAGATAGAACCATTGCTGACAGACGACAGCTTAATACAATTACTTTGCCAGACTTCAGCGATCCCGAGACAGGTGAGACTGAAGGGCCAGCGGGGCGGACGTGGCATCAACCAGAACGGGGCGGGGTCCGGCCCCGAGCCCCGCCGGGCCCAGGGTGGGAAGGCGTCCCCAGGGAAACGGGCTCACCTCCCACCTGTCGGGCCTTTCCCCGAGTCTTTTTCAAGCCTGTGTTCACGGTGGGGGCCGTCCTATTCCTTGCCAACACAACTCTTTGAAATCTATTTTTCCCCTTGCTCTTGGAGCCGAAAATTCGAAACTAAAATTAGACTCTTCCCATCCCCTCCGAGCGTCCCTCGGCTTCTGTGTTTCTTTGTCTCTCTTTAGATTTCAGACTTGCTGAAATCAAGGTTTCGGTGTCTCATCCGTGGCACCCATGAACACACATCCACCCTGCAAAGAACCCCTGCGAGGGGCAGCTGGGTTCTGAGCCTCCGAGTCTACTGACCCCGAGAGGAGGCCTGATGCATTTCCTGCCTCATTAGCACGTCAGTTCGCATCTGTGTTTCTACAGTTGCCTAAGTACAGGGGGTAGAGATACCTCTGTCATCTCCAGAAGTGCAGACGGGTAGTTTTGGATAGGAATACTGACATCTCAGGGGGCCTTTTGGAGGACTCAACGGACCCACGGAGTATTAAGACGTGCCCAGCTGTGAGCCTCAGACACAGTCCCAGAGTGTCGTTGGGAGCGGGTTCTGCAGCCTCCCCACCACCCGCACAGGGCTCTATGTCAGGCTTCATCCACCTCCGGGCGCCCCAGCCTCCTGGGGGTTGCCCTAACGAGAGGAGCCTCCCGGCCCCGGGTCCTGACCCGGCCCCTCCAAAGAGCCAGAGCGCAGCCGAGGCCTCCTCGGGGAGTCAGCCCAGAGAGTCTCTCCCCGGGGACGGGAGCCGGGCGCAGTCCTCGCCCGAGCTGTTCTCGCAGCTGCCCACCTTGCCCAGCTAGGCCCCCTTCCCAGACCTCAAGTGGGCTCAGGAAGCCTGACCGCAGGGCCCTGGGGCTCCCTGGTCAGGAGAGCGCTGGGAGCAGCAGTAATTTAAGTCAGTGCCCTGTACCAGCCGCTGCTCCAAGTGCGGGCTAGGAAGGCCGCAGGGAGACTCATCCCTGGAGTGCCTGGACCTGGGCTGAGGGCCAGTCACTGGAGGGCTTAGGTGTGAACCAGGCCGACTCTGAGCTGGGCTCTGCTCACGGTCCAGCCCCACTGGAGGGATGTGCGTGACCCCTCGCTGCAGAAAAGGGAAGGTCAGGCTCTTAAGCTCCGCGAGGCAAGGCTCGGACCTCCAGGGAGAGAAGACAGGGAGGTGATTCTCGCCAGCTCCTAGCAGCTGCCACCGGGGGCCTCCTCCCCACCCAGGACCCTGCAAGGAGCCTGTTACTGAAGTCAGACCCCCTGTCCTTCCAGCTGCTCAGGGTCTTCATTTGCCCGGAGGTCCCCCAAATTTCATCTACATCACAATGCAAACAGGCAGGAGAAAATGAGTGAGGCCCCTGAGGTTCCTTCTCCCCGTTGCCCCAGGAACATTCCCCGCTCGGGCCCTCAGGAGGCTCCTCCTCAGAGGAAACCTCAGGTGCCACAGCATCCAGGCGAGGTGTGGCTCGTGCCCCGCGGGCGTGGCCGGCCTTGTCCGCCGTGGGCACCGCTGTCCCTGAATCCCAAGCCCGTGGGCCCCACACTGCCGGGGCACAGGCTCCCAGGTGCTGGCCAGCGGCCGTGTTACTGTGTTGTGGTTTGCCCCACGAGCCCCTCCAAGACCCTTCTCACCCGCCCTGCCCGGGAGCCCCACATCGTTGGTTTTAGCACCACCAGCAGTTACCCGGGAGGCTCGGGAGCCGGAAAAATGGAAGGCCACATTAGCAGCCCTTGTCAGTGGCAGACTGGTCATAAATGATGGCAGAACATTCTGAGATGATCCTTTAAATCCAAGAGACTTAAAAAACCTTAAATTAGACAGACTCTGCTATAAATGGAAAAGGTGCCTCCGTCTTGATGAATAAAGGGCAGTTCTGTACCACTGGGCCCCTGGGCAGTTCCAGGAGGGCAGCGGTGCCTATTGGTGCCTCTGTGTGGACCCCTGTCTCCAGAATGACCCACAGATTTAGCTGAAGCTCTGATTATGAAGGTTCGGTAGAGATGCTCTGCTTCCTCCCTGCCCTTCTCCCTTGCTTTTCCTAAAGATAACCATTTTTATTAGCTTTTGGTTTTCCCTTCCATGCAAATAAGCTTAGATCTTATTTCCCGTGTCCCTTGACTTGAAAATAGCAGACTGTGTCTGGACTGCTCGGCCCCCGTGGGGGTCCCTTCACACGCCGCCCGCTCCCCCTGCCTCCGTCAGCGGAGAGTGTCCTGGGGCTTTTTTACAGCCCCACGGTCAGTGGCTTTTCTAAGTGCCCCGAAGGACCCAAGCCTCTACCAGGGGCGCAGTGGGTGAAGACACGTGCGCGGCACAGAGGCAGCCTCCCACGGTCACAGCGCCACCCACCCCGTCACCGCGGGGCAGGAGACCCCTTCTCAAAGCCACAGGCCCTGTTTTGTTTTCCAGAGCTAAAATTTATTTTCCCTTTATTTTTTAAAATTTTCTATTGTGGAAAAACTTCAAATATGCCCACATAGAGATACTAATGCCATGAGTCCGCATGTACCTACCACCAGCCTCCAATTCCAGTTCTTTTTTCCTTTATCTCTGCTGTCCAACACTTAGTTTTTGTAAGGTATTTTGAGGCAGATCTCAGATATCATATTGTGCCTGTTAAAATTTCAGTATATGTGTCAAACGGATAAGAGTTCTTTAAAAGTCTAGCCAAGGTACCCTCATTATACATCTGGGTCGTGAGGCTCAGTTCCCACCCCTGCGGTTGTCCAGATGCGGATCTGAACCATAACAAGAGGGGAGCGCAAGTCTAGAAGCCTCGGACCGGCCGGGTCCACTGTGGCCAGAGAGTGGACGCTGGTTTTCTTAAACGGGTGTGGCAGAGTGAAACAGAACCGTGGAGAATCTGCTTCCCTTCTAACATCTACTCTCAGCCCCCTCCCCTCCCCACCCCCACCTCTGTCGTCCAGTAGGTCCTAGCCATCAAGAGACTCAATGGAATGACAGTCTTTTAACTCTGAAGCTATGAGTCATTGTCTTTTCTTTGGAATAAGTTAGTTCCTTAAATAGAGGATGAAAAAAAATTTTTTTCTTCCTTTTGCCTTCAAAACAGGATGTGGAGTAAGGGGATTTAGCTTTAATCATTGGAGGATATTGCCAGACACCTATCCAAAGTAAAATGATTCTTTCACCTTGAAAGTTTGCCCCATTTTGTCCGGGAAAGTTTTTAATTGTCATGGTGGCGGTTCTCCCTCCTGTGGTGTGTCTCTCCAGCTGAAGTCGGGAGGCCACCGCCCCCAACCGTGGCCCAGTCTAGCGAGCTTACACTCCATTGCCACAATACTGGGACCTGGCCCGTGGTTGACCCTCAATAGCTGCACCTAGCAAAACCTTAGTTTTCAAGTAAATTTTATATAAGTGCTTCTCATAAAAAACAAATTAGGAAAAGTCAAGTTCTAATCCTTTCCAATTGAAAAGCAAATAGTTTCTTTCCCTCTAGACTGTTGCGGATATTATAGGTTAAAGACGTATTATTTTCAATGGATCATACTGCTGAATCTGTGCCCAGGTAAATCTGAGTTATTTTTATTCCATGGTGTTGTTGCAGAACAAATAATAACCAGTGGAAAAACAGCAAATTTGTTTTCTTCGAAAAGCACTTGTATTCTATTGTCAAGTAGAGGAATGATTGTGTATTACATGACCTCATTTTCTTTGCAGCTTATGTGAGTATATTAAAAGCTAGTTTATTTTTTTTTCTTTGTGTTTCTAAAGTTTTTTTGCCTTTATCCTTTTTTTTCTCTTTCACTTTTTTTAGTGTCAGATTCCTCCTCCTCCTCTCTTTCAAGAAGCGAGTCTCCTCTCCACCTGTTTGTGTCTTCTCATCTCCACTCTCACCCCAAACCCGATACCTTTGTGTGGCCCCCAGCTGCACGCTCAGTCAGTGACCCGGGCCCCCGCCAGGAAGCCTCTCTGTGTAAACGTGGTTTATGTTTCTTTTTGTTCCTTTCTTGTTAGACCTGCTTCATTTGCCTGATGTTTTATTTTCTGATAATCTTCCTAACTGATAAGCTGGCTAGCAAACTCCATCCAATTCAACTGACAGAAAATCTTGCTAGTTTGAAAACCCAAACGCTGCCTGGGGCAGAAGACAGTGTTGCTGAGTTCCATCCTCCCCTCCGAAAAGCAGAGGAAACCCGTTTTGAGCAGAATCAACAGAAGCTTTTCTAGAACACTGCTTCTGGCTCTTGGGCACTCCTGTGATTTCCTGGAGTTGATATCAATGCATAAAGATCCTATTTTCTTAAAAAAGACAAACTAGAACATTCCTAATTATTTCCAGTTTTCAATTTAGAAATGAATTCAACAAGTATGTCATAATCAAGGTCGTGTTCTAAAGGTATCGGTCAGCTGCCTTCTAAATATGTGGACTCAGAGCTCATGGTGTGCCAGAGTCACCCAGAGAGCTTCGAAAACTGCAGACTCCCTGGGTCCGACCCCCAGAGTTTACGATCCAGGAGGCCTGAGCTGGGTCTCAAGAATATGCATTTATGAAATACCTTCTCATGATTCCACTGCCAGTGGGTTGTGTCCTGCATTTTGGAAAACAAGGCTATAAATTGTTTTTCATTTCAGGGAAAGAAAATGTAGGGCTTGTATCATGAATCTAGGCAGGGAAATTGAACAGTGTTTTAATCTAATCTTGCTTTTAAATAATAGGGACATTTGAAAGTCTGTTTTGGGCCCTGTCAGTTTAAAAAAAAAGATCCCTGTATTAAAATGAGACACTGGTTGATAAAGTCCTTAAATGGCACCTAAATGTGGGTCTCACCAGGAGATCCACCCTTGTTCTTCCACTCATCTATTTAATGCTCACTTTACCCGCAACACGACCAGAAAATTTAATCTCTATATCCATGATTTATAAGGGCTCATCTTTGGTCCAAACACTCAGTTATATACTGAACAAAAGCTCAGCATATAAAGAGCTACTCTCACTAATGTGCTCATATTTCTAATGGTGACCTGCTGTGTTAGACTCACTCACGCATGCACACACACACACACAGAAAGGAGACTATCATCTAAAATAAATCATTTAAACCAAGAAACACTCCGACCTTACTTATCTGCACAGTAATTGTTCTGATCTCAGCCTCAGTGGCAATCCCGTTTTTACGAAATGGAAGATAATGTTTATAAACTGCTTACGTAGTTTTTAATCCACTTCTTAAAATAGACATTTTCCCTTAATACGATGACTAGGAACAGTTGCCAACTTTGGTTTTTTTTCTGTTTTGGTTTTTCCAGAAAAGTTGTTTTTTACATTGACTTTTGCCCAGCTTGAGGGTGGGGTTCTTAAAATGGAATCTTACTGTTCTGGATATCCCCAGGTGGCTCAGTTGTGAAGAATTCACCTGCCAGTGCAAGAGATGCAGGTTTGATCCCTGGGTGGTGAAGATCCCCTGGAGGAGGAAATGGCAACCCGTGCCAGTGTTCTTACCAGGAAAATCCCATGGACAGAGGAGCCTAGCAGGCTGCAGTCCACGGGGTCCCAAAGAGTCAGACACGACTTAGCGACTGAACGATAGCAAGAAAAGCTGTTCTAGAATGACATTAGATATTCCCACTACCCCTTCCCTTCTCGTTTGCACAACAAACCCACCTACCTCCACACCTGCCAGTATTTACCTCGTTGTATCCCAATAAGCCCTGTGTCCCTTTAAACCTCTGAGGACTGGGGTCCAGCCTCTTCTGGTGGGACCCCTGATATCAGATGAATTAGCAGATGGGCGGGCAGTGCGCAGTCCCTGGGCTTTCTGCTGAACATATCAGGAACCAAAAGCACTCAGTGGTTTGTCTCCACAAAGCTCGGAGTCACCTTCCGTCCTCAGGGAGCCCCTCGCTGGTCACCAGGTGTTCTAAGACGGAAGCACCAAGGATCTTGCCTCCCAGCCACAAACACAGCATTCAGCTAGAGAAGGGAAAACATGCCACATGTGCCTAGTAAAGGTAGAATTTCTTGATTAAAATTATAATAAATTTGAATGCCAGCTCTTTCCCCTAGAACAGATAGCCTAGACCTAAAGCTTCACGAATCCCACCCCACCGCCCCCCCCCCCAATCCTTTGGCTTCACAGGATCAAACACTAGCCCAACCCTACCACTGTTGGAATCATGAAGAGGCTTAATATGTGGAAATATCTGAAAATTGCTGTTTGATTATTTTTCCCTTCCCCTTGGAATTTCCTGCCCTGGAAACAAAACAGTCCGTGAATTGGTCAGCTTTCACGTGCTGAGTGAACATTTAAACACGGAGGGGAATGCCCAGTTGGCCTTCCTTTGCTTTAAAAAAAAAATCATTGTTAGTGGAAAAACGTATGTCACCCTTGAACTGAAATCTGATTCCAGAGAACCAGACTTACAGTTGGAAGGTTATGGGAACTCCATTTGCTTTTTTAGCCTTAATTTTGATTTTTCAAATGTTTGTTTCTTGGTTTTAATTTTTGGTTTGATTTATTGTTCCAAGGCAACTCTCCAGAAGTGTACTTTCATGGTTTTCCCTCCCTTTTTTCAGTTAGTAAGTAGTTTACCGATCTATTAACTTTTCCAAGGGTCTCCAGAGTCACGCTACCGTCCACCGCGCAGTGTGTTGTGGCTGTTGATTCCTGGGAATGTTCAGATGGCCTGGACCCTAAGCTGCCACCCGCTTGCTCACTCCTCGTGGGGCCCAGCTCTCACGAGATTGTAATGCTTCCTCCTGCAGCTTGGGTTTAAATACGGAGGAGGCAGCACTTGGAAGGACTACAGAAGGAGGCATTGCAGGAAAAATGCCCATGTGAAGGCGTGCTGTGGGTTGGTCAGCGGCCCCATAGCAACTGATCAAAAGTGTGAGACATCTAGGCTTCCCAGTGAGGGTCATCTGTAGATTTGGGGTGGAGGGAACTAGTTGAATCTCAAAATCCTTTCTGGTTCAACCCCTATTGGTACCTAGAAAAAGCGATTCCCTTTCAATAGGGTAAAATGAGGCTTGACATATTTATACAGAGGTCTTAACCCTTTTGATAAAAACAGCCTGAAGTCTCAGGAAGGCCGGGGAACCTGGGTTCAGCAGGCAGTTCTGCAGAGGAACCCATGCAACTCATTTAACCTTCCTGGCCTTTGATTCCTCACCTGTGAGGATCTAAGTTTGCTTGTTATTATGTCCACACACTGGGGCTTCCCAGGGGGCGCTAGTGGTAAAGAACCCGCCTGCCAATGCAGGAGACGCATGAGACACCAATTCGATCGCTGGGTCAGGAAGATGCCCTGGAGAAGGAAATGGCAGACCACTCCAGTATTCCTGCCTGGACAGAGGAGCCTGGCGGGCTGTGGTCCGTGAGGTCACACAGAGTCGGGACACGGCTGAAGCGACTTTAGCACGCTGTTCACACTCGCCTTTGTGGTTTACCAGGAGCTGATCCTGATTTTAAGCCTCTACCAGCCCCTGTGGCTCCCAGAGGGCAGTGAGCGGCCGGGCGGGCAGGGCTGGCCTGGAATGTAGCCGCCAGGCCACCCCCTCACCCCTGAGCCGTGGGCGCCCACCCCCGAAGTCGTCGTTCTGGAGGGAGACCTGGGTTCATGTTCTGTTCTCCTCTCCAAGAGTGTGCCGGCTGATGCTCCTGGCTTCATTTTATATCACCAATTCTGGTGAAACTGCTGATCTCTTTAGGAACCCAGAGAAGAGAATAATATTAAGGAAAAACACACACCGCTCAAATGAAGCAAGGTGAGAAACAAAGCCGAGGTGGTGAGCGTTTTTATCATTGACCTTGTGTTTTCCGACATTTAAAAACATCGTCAGGATCAGGAAGTGACCGGCCGGTGAGGTGGTGAACTTCACCTTCTGCCTCTGACTAACAGGAAAAAGTCACTTTTTAATCTATATATGAAAAGGTCACTCTAGTGATGGCCCCACTGCTTTTGAGGGGTGGCAGTTTTAAAAACAGCCTTCATGATGGAAGTGTAAACGTTTTCTTGCTCTTTTTATTAAAATTAATTCTCTTAAATAGTTCGGGCTTCCCTGGGGGCTCAGATGGTAAAGAACCTACTTGCAACGTGGGGGCCTCAGGTTCCACCCCGGATGGGAAAGATGCCCTGGAGGAGGGCACGTCCACCCGCCGCTGTCCGGAGCGTCCCACGGACAGAGGCGGCAGCCCGCGGGGTCACAAAGGGTCGACACGACTGAGCGAGAAACACGGGCCACGTCGGCACGTCCAGTTAGGTAGTTCTAGGGTGTCTTCTCTAGGCGAGGTGAGTGGCAGTCCAGGAGGGGCACGTCAGTACCGCGGCCCTCTGGCTGACGCCGGGGCTGCGTGGCCGGTAGTGAGCCCGCGGCCCGAGCCGGGGGCCTTCTCCGCGGGCCGCGCCCGCAGGAGCCGCTCTGCCCACGCTCAGCTCCGCTGCAGTGGCGGGCTCAGGCCTGGGCAGCCGGGGGTCGGGGCGGGTGGGGAGCCTCCCCGTGTAGTCCTTCCGAAGGTACTGCCTCCCGCCCGCAGCCGGCCCCGGGCTCCCTCCGAAGGCCGGCCCCCCGCATGCCTGCTGAGCGCCCCGCCGACGCCCCGGAGCACGCTGGCCGCCGCGCATGCCCACCTGCCTCCGGGGTCCTTCCCGACGCTTTCCCTGGAGAGGACCGCCCCTCCCCTTTCAGGAGGAAAGCACGTCCCATCAGGTCTGAACTGTGCTTGATACTCTGTGAAAGTCACTGGGAGTCGTGACCCCGTCTTGGGACTGGGGGGTTAGCTTGTGCAGATGTACTTGGCTATCTTAGTCTCCTTTTCGCGCAGGGAAGAAGCAAAGTAGCTACGAGAATAGCCCCCAAGGGTACTGATCAGCATAGCCCACAAGCAGGGGACCTCCCGGGGGGCAGAAGGCGGATGGAACCCGCAATGGCCCCTAGGGCCGCGCTGCCGGGGTGCACCCCAGCCCCCCACTTGAGGGGGGACGCCCTCCAGGGGTCAGAATACGGAAGTGAGACCCTTGACAGCCCCATGTGAGGACCCCACCCCCCAAATCAGAGGCAGGACCACCTCCAGCGGAGATGGGGATTGTCCTAACCGGGGGTTGAGGGGTGGGCGTGGAGGGAAAATGGTCCATGTTTTTAAAGGATTCAGAGAACAGCGGGGGCCCGGTCCCCCCTCCCCTTCCTCACTGGCTGCTCAGGCCCGGGCCGCTGAGGCTCCCGGAGCGCAGGGACCCGGCGTGAGGAGGTCGCTGGACCACCTCTCATCAGGTCCGAAGCCTCGTCTTGAGAAACAGGCATCCTTCTCCTGTTAAAGAGGGAAGGTTTCGAGCACAGCTGTCTGGCGGAGTGCTCACGCGTTCAGATCACCGTTCAGTGCGCGGGACCTTTGAGAAGTGAAGCGGCTTTTTTCTATTTAACTTCATTGTTGGGGGGAGGGACACAGCTTCGAACCGGAGGCCGAGTGAAGTCTGCCGACAGGTAGCACTGAGTCATTTCAGGACCGAGGGAAAACAAATGCAGAGAGCTCTGGGCAGTGGGCAACTCGTGGACACCTGGGCTCTTCTCGGAGCAGCGCCGGGGGGTCGGGTGCCTGCGAGGCTGCCCCCGGGCGGAGGGGACGCGGGCGACGAGCTGAGAGGCAGGACTCGGTGCAGCCCCGCGCCCCGCATTCACGCGCAGGGGCTTCCGAGCTGACCCTCCAGGGCGGGAAGCAGAGGGCAGCCTGGACCCTGCGTGGACACTTAGACGTGGGCCCGCTCGTAGCTCTTTGGTAGAGGGGTTTTGTTCTTTTTCCACGTCAGTAGCACAGTTGTCAGTTGTTCCTGGGCTGTGATGCTCACCAAGTCAGCAGGGTTGTATCTGAGACCTGTTCTTCTTCTACACGCTGTGAGGATGGGAGGGGAGAGGGAAGATGGACCTCGTTCAAACCACAGCAGCTTACCTAAGGCCACCAGAAGAGTCGAGAGGGCCGCCGCAGTACAAAAACACGCCAGGCAGTCGGTGACCCTGCTTGTGAAAACGGAGGTGACCGAACACAACCCGGCCGTGAAGTTTACTCTGCCTTTTGCGTAACAGCTTACGGGCTCTGAGATGCCTCTGCCTGATGAGCTTCAAGTACTGAGATAGGGTCGACGTCGGAGGTCGGTGTGAAACTGTCCGCAGGTGTAGTGAGCTGTGGAGAGGATTTGGGAAAGCCGTCAGCTGCAGAAGCGGTGTGAGCTGGCTGGACCCGGTGTCCTGCTTCTGGCAGGGTTTCTCTGCGGGCGTCAGATGGTAGGAATGGGGGGCAGGAGCCCTCCAGGGGGTGCGGAACTGGGATTCCGCTTCTGAGGTCAGGGGCCCGGCGTCTCTATCAGCAGCCCCCTTCCACACCCCACCCAGATGGTGGTCCTAAGCGAGGACTTGATAAAGACCCTGGAGGCGGGGATCCGAACAGTTCTTCAAGCGGCGCTTTGCCGATATATCAAATGTCCAAAGCAGCGTTTTCTCCTGGGCGTCTAGGCGGGAGCACGTTCAGCTCTCCTCAGCTCCAGGACGTCGTGTACCGCTTGGACACAGAACCTGGGCCAGGTTTCAGGGCCCGCTTGCCCCTGCCCGCGTCACTGTCTGCTCAGTTGGTTTCGCGGTGGCTTTTCAGAGCCCCTGCGCCCTGTGACAGGGGCTTGGTGGCTGCTCGGCCCTGAGGGTGAGGGTCCGACAGGGATAAGCACTTCTCGAATTAATGTGATAAATAGGAGATGCTCAGCGGCCAGACACGTCCCCTGGATCACCTGTCAAACCTGGTTATCTGGAAGCTTATTCCTCCAGAGTCTTGGACTTCAAATTAGAAATATGCCTTCTGTTCCTCCCTCTAATTCCTTTCTCAAGCCTCAGTTTGTCCACTTCCCTTGGAGGGATAATCCTCTTAACCCCATGCACGCTGTAAGAATACATTTGCTTTCATGAGAAAGAAAGGGTTGCTTTAAAACTAGGTTGGTCAGGACTAGCGTTTCTAGATGCTTACCTACATAAATCAAAATCTCTCTGGGCACTTACCATTTCAGTCCTACACGACAGTAAGATGCAGGTTGTTTCGATTATTTTTTGTAATCAGATATATCCATTCTAATTCATAGTGATGCTTATCCCTTTCTTCCTCCAAATTCTAACCCAGTGGAAGAGTTTGATATATTGCACTATTGCCAGGAAGAATGAAAGTGAAATTTCAAGTCAGTCAGTCGTGTCCAACTCTTTGCGACCCCATGGACTATAGAGTCCATGGACTTCTCCAGGCTAGAATACTGGAGTAGGTTGCTATTCCCTTCTCCAGGGGATCCTCCCAACCCCGGGATTGAACCCAGGTCTCCCACATTGCCGGCGGATTCTTTACCCACTGAGCCACAAGGGAAGCCCTGTAGACATTACCTATGAAGTATTTTTATCATTACTGTAAATCACCTGCTCCTGTTAATAACTGTTGAATGCTCAGATACCTACCCCTCGCTCAGAGCCTGAAGGGTGCCTGCCCCGTGAGGTGTGTGTGAAAAGGGATCATCCGGTGAGGAGACAGTTGTTTCTGATGGACCTCAGTTGCCCTCCCTGGGTAAGGGGTTGGTTACAATGGCGCTGGGAAGCCCCTGGTATGAGCAGTGTGGATTCAGGTGTGCACCATTGGCAGTCCTAGTGCCAGTGGCTGGGAGGAGCCTTTTGAGATGGGAAGGCTCTGGCACTGGGCCTTTAGGGAAGGAGGGTAGGGCACCCAGCCATGGTTCCCTCAAAGGGAGCCACCATCTTCCAGATTTCATCCAGTGACAAGTCTGTTGGCAGTGCTCATTCACCCATCATTCATTCATTCGTCCCGTGAGCATTTACCAAGCACACTTCAGGGGCCTGGCATTGTTAGCCTCTAAAATACCTAGTGGGCTTCCCTGGTGGTTCAGCTGGTGAAGAATCCTGCAATGCAGGAGACCTGGGTCCGATCCCCAGGTTGGGAAGATCCCCTGAAGAAGGGAATGGCTACCCACTCCAGTATTCTGGCCTGGAGAATTCCATGGACTGGCCTGGAGAATTCCATGGGCTGAACAGTCCATGGGGTTGCAGAGTCAGACACAACTGAGCGACTTTCACTTTCAAAATACCTAAATGGAGGACATGACTCCTGTCTTCCAGAACCACTCAGTCTCACAAGAGAGACAGTTGCATTAACTTTAACATCAAACAGTGTGGTCTGTACAGGGATCACTGTGACCACAGGAGGATATGTGGCACTGAGGTCCCGAGGTCTAACGTTTTACCCAAGATCGGTGAGGAGGAGGAACCAAAGGCTCACGGCAGCCTTCCTGGAGGAGGTGGTAGTCGAGCTGGATTTAGAGGCGAGATTTGTAGTTAGACTAGTGTCTGAGTCACCTGCTGGCTGTATGCATTTGGGTAACTTACTCACTAAATCTTAATTTTGTCATCTAAACAATGCAGGTAACAGTGTTACCTGCCTCAGAGAATTGTTTGAAGAGTAAATGAAGCAATATACATAAAATGCAAACCAGAGTGCCTGGAACAGGCCATGTCCACGAAAACTGATAATCACCACTCCTGGCATCATCATTTGCCAGACATTCTTCACAGTGAAACTTTATTATGTGAAGAATTAATGAATTTAGTTGTGTATGTGAGTGAATGAAGTCGTGTCCGACTCTGCAACCCCCTGGACTGTAGCCTGCCAGGCTCCATCCATGGGATTCTCCAGGCAAGAATACTGGAGTGAGTTGCCATTTCCTTCTCCAGAGGATCTTCCTGACTCAGGGATCAAACCTGGGTCATGCAGGCAGACACTTCACCATCTGAGCCACCAGGGAAGCCCCAGCTGGGTATAGTACTGCAGAGAGAAGGAACTTTGACATTATTTCTGAGTAGTTCATTTGTGAATCAAACAGATCATCTGAAAAGCAAAATTAGCCCTTTGTCTAAGTCACAAATCCTTGTAGCCAAGGAGTCTGAGAATCTAGTAGGAAATGTGTAGAATTTTTCTAGAGTGGTGGTGTATTATTTTTTCTTTTTTAAAAATGAAACACTTTAAGCATTTCTCAGTTTTGATTTCATTTTTTATTTCAGTATCAGTAGATATAACCCATGTAACTAAGATCTCTTGAGGGGTCTTGCAATAACTTTGCAGAGGGACTTCCCTAGTAGTCCAGTGGCTAAGACTCCACGCTCCCAGTCAGAGACCCAGGTTTGATCCCTGGCCAGGCAACTAGATCCCATATGCCGCAGCTAAGACCTGGTGCAGCCAAATTAATTAATTAATTTTTTAAAATGACTTTGCAGAGTCCAAAGGGATTCTGAGATAAGAGGACTCTGAGAACCTCCGTCCTAAAAAACAAGAGCTTCCGGGTTCCCTTTCCCCAGACCGCTGGGCTGCAGGGAGGCAGGACCGCCCAAGCTGGCTGAGCTGTGTAGACAACACCCGCAGACGTTTCTTGACCTGTCATCTAATAACACCCTCTTCCGTCTCTCCAGGTCGGGGCCTCAGTCTTAGCTGTAAGTTGGCGTTACCTGAGCTATTAACGAATAGATGGCTGGCTCCGCCCCTAGCATCAGTGATGCTGTACTATGGCATCATGATCGTTGTTTTAAACCTTAAGTGATTCTAATGTGAAGCCGAGGTTGAGAACCTCTGTTGGAGGTAGTCAGTGAGAAGGTCAGCCAGCTTGGGAACAGCGTCAGGATGTAGCAGCAGCAGTTTCATTGATTTAACTAATCATCGCATTAAAAATCGCAGAGAAGCTACATCCATCCTTGTTATCAGTTAAAATACTGATTTTCCATAAAGAGATTGAAAACAGAGCAAGACCCCCAAAATCAACAGCAGCTTCATCATCTTGCTGCTTAGGTTTTTTTTTCAGTATTCTGACACACTTTGTCTCCGCACGGTCAGTTCTTAGCTGAACTCCATCAGCTCTCCTGCATCACCCTTGAACTTGGCCTCGTGGTCCTCCTCGCACGGCAGCACTGACTCTGGAGGCCTCCCTGGTCCTTCTCCAGAACCACCCTCTTACGTGTCCCCGTGGGTGCTGTCTGTGTGGGGATTGTCCACAGAAGCTGGATTCTCAGGCTGGTCCCCAGCCCCCTCCCGCGTTTCACTTCCACCAACCCCCTCCCACCGAAAGATTTGAGCATATTGAGAAAAATCCACATTTCCTTCATGTTGGGACCGTCAAACACAATATGGATGGCCAGTTTATCACTGCAAATACTCTTAAAAATGAATAATTATGGTACATTTGAAAGCCCCAGCAGAAATTATTTTTATGCTCACAGAGTGGACCCAACTCATTTTATTTGAGTAGTCAGCATGTATCTGTCTATATTATCACCATTTACAACCTCATAAGTTGATAGTTACCACTGACAGGGTTGGAATGTTTATCTCCGTATTACACTTGAGGATGAGTTCTAAATTAAGAATGTTGCCAGTGAATATAAATATCACCAGTTTTCAATGTGAAGTAACTGAGACTCCTGTTCTTGGTTCTGAAACCATTTCTCCAAGAGGGGACGTGGGAAAGAGGTGGGGAGAGACCCCCGTTTCGGAAGGTGGCCTCTGTCTGGTAGGAGCTCCCCAGGTCAGCATGGAGGAACGTGTTGTTTGACTCATTTGATGTCTGAGTAGCAGCCCTTGGGCCAAATCTGTCTGGCTAGTGAACCTCAGGAGGCTGAACCTCAGGAGGGCTGCCTGCCCCAGCCCCTCAGAAGAGCAGCTTTTACAGAAGAGTAAGGCGGGTGTAGCTTCTTTGCTGTGACTGACCTTCAGTAGGCTGGTGTTAGCCTCTGCGACACAGCGGGCAAAGTGCGCTGTTTCTGTAGTTTTTAAGTCACTTCCTGGACTATGGCTACAGATCCTTCAAAGACCAGGGGAACGAAGTGGGCGGTTGCTGGGTTTGAGAGCAAAACCCTCCACGCAGAATCCTCCCCAGCAGACCAGGGATGTCCCTCCCCTGCCCCCCAGGGAGTCTCCACGTCCAGGCCCCGGGAGGGGTGCTCTGTCGCCCACCTTGGTCGCCCTTCCGGCGTGCCGGGTTTCAGCAGCGCGTCTCTGCTGCGTCCCCCTTCTCAGCCCACTCGAGGCTCCTGGAGAGTCGCTCTGAGTGTAAGCTCTGCTGTGACTCAGAAGGCAGCTGACGCCAAGGACAGGAACTAAGACCAAGGACAGAAACTAGGATGCCAGGCCCCAGCGATCGCATGGGGTGTGACCCTCAAAACTCAGACACCCCCGGGGGAGGGACGCGTGTGCGTCTTGGTCTCGTGTCTGTGTGGGGGCTGCGGGGCGTGCGGGGTTGGCTGGTTCGGTGTCCTTTCGCCTCTGATGCCGTCTTCTCGAACCCCCACCCCAACCCCGCAGGCTCCATCCACGCCACGTCAGTCGCGGCCTCCAGAGTGGAGCAGGCGCTGTCGGAAGTGGCCTCGTCCCTGCAGAGCAGCGCCCCCAAGCAGGGCCCCCTGCACCCCTGGATGACGCTGGCGCAGATCTGGCTGCACGCAGGTACCGCTCTGTCCCCAGCCCCACCCCGCCTGCCACCGCGCCCGAGGGGGGCATGCGCCCGGGGCGGCAGCGTCCACGCAGGAGCAGGGCCACTGCCCCCCACACCGCCTCTGCCCAGGACCGCAGAGCGCGCTGTCCCGGACCCGGAGCTCCGGCGGGCCTGCTTCCGCTCTGAGCCTCCGTTTCCTCCTCCGCGCCGCGGGGTTCACCGCACCCTCTCCTGGGGGTGATGAGCCTCCGTTTCCTCCTCCGCGCCGCGGGGTTCACCGCACCCTCTCCTGGGGGTGATGAGCCTCCGTTTCCTCCTCCGCGCCGCGGGGTTCACCGCACCCTCTCCTGGGGTGATGAGCCTCCGTTTCCTCCTCCGCGCCGCGGGGTTCACCGCACCCTCTCCTGAGCTCAGCACCCCACACACTCCAGCAGTGACAATCCCAGAGACCCTGGGAGGGGGGTCGGGGTGCGGGTGACAGACGTCTTCATCTAGGCCGGGGAAGGACAACACTCTTGTGTCCAGACTCCGCTCTCTGACGGCACTCCTGGCGATCCTCAGAGAGCAAGGCGCATACCCGTTGCTGCCTGAGGGACGCTAGCCCAGAATGCAGGTGTGACCCCCCCCCGCCCAAGCCCAGTTTCACACGGCTGCTGCTGCATAGCTAGGAAGTCTCCCCAAATAAATCCAGCACACGGACATTTTAGCCGTGAGAATCCCCCTGTAGGGAGCCAGTGATGGCGGCTGACTTGCTTGCATGTGTGTAGTTCCGTGTGAAAGGTCACTTCTGCTTCTCAAGTTTCAGCCCTTGATCTGCGAGGCCTTCCTAGGCTTGGCTCCGGGGTGCCCGGTGAAAGCCCAGATCTGGCTGGGTAGAGTGCTTCTTACCCACTGCCGCCCATCTGTTTAATCTGCTTGTGCCAAGGCTAATTGTATGATGCTCGACCTTGTTTGCAACCTTTGTGTAAGAAGACACAATTGGGTTTATTTACCTGGCTTGGGCATGTCCCAGAGCCAAGCTCAGCCAGCGCCTTCTGTGTTGGCACCTTTAAATGAGCCGTAACAATGCCCATAAATTAATAAATTATATTCTTCTGAGCAGAAGCACAGGCGAGGGGTGACTCAAGGCCGCTCATTGTTCTCCCTGCTCAGATGCTTGTCAGCCTTCGGCCTCTTGGGGGCTCTAGACGGGCTGATGCTGAGGACCCAGGAGCAGCAGTGAAGCCGCCCTTGCGGCTTGCTTGCAGAAGGGCCCGGTCCCCAGTCTAGGACATAATGACTGTCCTCTCCCGTCACCCTCATGAGCACTGATGGCAAAAACCAGAAAGAGAAGCGGTTCTCTTTAGTGTCCAGCTCAGGTGAGACTGCCTGAACCTGCAGGGCGAGTAGCGGGGCAGCGTCGTCCTTCAAAATGGGCGTGAAGTTGAGCCACTGTTTTTGTTTTTAACGGGCATTTACTTGGCTGCGCCGGGCATCAGTTGTGGTAGGCAGGACCTTTAGTTGCTTTGTGCAGACTCTCAGCTGCAGCATGTGGCGTCTAGTTCCCTGACCAGGGATCCAACCCGAGCCCCCTGTGCTGGGAGCGTGGAGTCTTAACCACTGGACTGCCTGGGAAGTCCCTCAAGATGAGTTTTTGAAGGGCCAAAGTCTGCAAAGCCAGAGGGCTGATGGTGACCCTTCCAGGCTGGACCCAGCTCCCCTGACCCCTCAGGCCCTGCTCTTCTTGCTTGTGTCTCAGAAATGCTCATGAGCTGGATGAGGGGCAGTGAGTCCAGGACAGCTTCAGTGGTGGATGCTGGCCCCGTGCTCAGAAACCCACACTTTGCTCCTCTTGGCGGGGTCTACCATGACCCTTGGAAAGAAGCTGTGTATCTGCTTCTGAGAGCATTGACGAACTTGGCAGCTAAGATTCCATTTGGAGTTGTCCTAGAAGTTTTATTAATCACGTGGCATTCATTTCTCGTTGCCATAGCCTGTAAGAGAGAATAAGGCTCTCATTGCTATTAATAGGTATGGTTTTTAACATTCTAGGAGTTGGTGGAATTGAATTCTGGAAAGCAAATGTCGTACCTGCCGTATAAACTCCGAGCAGAATATAAATCACGCTTATGTAGCATGAATAGTGGCATAAATTAGAATCTTAGAGGATTGGTGCCATATTGACTCTTTCAAAGCACTGACTTTGTTTGAGTCAAGATTAGAATTGTGTCATATATTCAAACTAGTCTTTGAAGAGGTAAATTCAGAAAGAATTCATAAAACAAGCTTCCACTGAAATGTAAGGTTTTACCATATGTGGTTTGAGCTTGACTGCTCTGGGCAGCAAAATAAAAGTGACCCACATTTTTGAGAATGTATGGAAACCAGGGAACATCTGTGCCCGTCATCAGCTCCTGCAATACCGCCAGCTTCTGTAAATGTCGCAGGTTTCAGAGGAAGAAGCTAGATCAAGGCCTGATACCCCAGGTCATGGGTTTCTGCGGCCTCCGTGGGTCTCTTCTCTCCTGGTCGTTTTTCTGGTGGTCTGAGTATAGCGGGAGCTGGTGAGGCGGGGCCCGATGGAGGCGGCTCTGGGTTTGAGAGTGGCAGGTGAGGCCACTCCAAGGTGACCCAGACATCCAGCCTGTTATATAAGCAGGTCCTGGGCTGCTGGGTGTGTGTCTGAAAGGCAGAGAGGTGGTGACTGGGACCCCCGACCCTCTGCTGCTCAAGGGAACAGCACCAGCCCTGCGGGGAGCCCAGGAGAGCAGGGACGCTCGGCACCTGAGGGCCCCCCGGGCTGGGAGACTGTGCCAGGGCGAACCCCCTGGGCACTTCTGACCCAGAGCCCCCGGCTCCTCCCGGGACACCTGGCGGGGCATGGACACGTGCCCGGGGCAACCCCTCCTCTGGGCACTTCTGACCCAGAGCCCCCGGCTCCTCCCGGGACACCTGGCGGGGCATGGACACGTGCCCGGGGCAACCCCTCCTCTGGGCACTTCTGACTCAGAGCCCCTGGCTCCTCCCGGGATACCCAGCGGCCAACCCACGTGTTCGGTCGCTTGGTTTATCTGAACCTATGTGACAATTTCATTTAAATTATGTTTGAAAAAATCATCCAAGCTCACGGTACACCGTTTAAAGGGCACAAAAGACATGGAATGCAGGCGTCCCCCACCCTGAGCACCGGTCACCTCCCCCCCATGGCCGCCACGTGAGCGGCTGCAGCCCCACCAGAGGGGTGACGCTCCCCGAGGCCGCTACCTGTCACATCAGAGGGTGAATCCACTGTGGGAATTGACCATCATTTAACCGATGATCCGCTGATTCACATTTAGATTATTTCTAGTATTTTCCTGTTACAGACAGTGCATCAGTAAATAGCCTTCTGTACATTGTTCTGTGTAAGTTCAGTTCAGTTCAGTTGCTCAGTCGTGTCCGACTCTTTGTAACGCCATGGACTGCAGCACGCCAGGCCTCCCTGTCCATCCCCAACCCCCGGAGTTTACTCAAACTCATGTCCATTGAGTCGGTGATGCCATCCAACCACCTCATCCTCTGTCGTCCCCTGCCCTTGATCTTTCCCAGCATCAGGGTCTTTTCCGGTGAGTCAGTTCTTCGCATCAGGTGGCTAAAGTATTGAAGTTTCAGCTTCAGCATCAGTCCTTCTGTGTAAGAATAATTCCTAAAAGTGGAATTGATAGATCAAAAGTTACTCTTTGTTTTTGGTAAATTTTGTCACATTGCCTTCCACAGCTGTGCCAGGTTGCATTCCAGCCGATAAGGTATGAGGTCTTCCCTGGTGGCTCAGTGGTAAAGAACCTGCCTGCGATGCAGGAGACCCGGGTTCAACCCGTGGGTCAGAGAGATCCTCTGGAGAGGGAAATGGCAACCCACTCTGGTGTTCTTGCCTAGAAAATTCCATGGACAGAGGAGCCTGGCGGGCTACAGTCCCTGGGGTTGGATATGACTTAGTGACTAAATAGCAAGATGTGCAAGGCCGTTTCCTCAGATCTTTATAGCACAACGAGCTGTCAGACTCCCAGATCTTTGCCAGTCTGACAGGTGAAAGTGGGGTTTCAGTCGTCTGCTCGTGGGTCCTGCCGTTCATCTTGGATACTGAGCCTTTCTTTTTGATTTGTGAGCACTGGTTACGTTTCGCACCAAAGAAATTTGCCTCGTGTCACGTGCTGTCTTTTCTCTCATTTAGTTTGTGTTTTAGGGTTTTGTTGTTGTGATTTTTTGACAATTTTTTTTTTTTTACATTTATCAATCTTTTCTTTATAGCATCTGGGCGTCACATGATGTTTCAAAAGCAACCACCCATTTTTATGGTCTCTTTTCCTAAAAGTTCCAAGTATCTTCCAGTGCTATTTGTAATATATACAGCATCTTATAAAGAAGGTCAGAAGGGTTATTTTCCTCTCTTGTACAGAAGGGAAACCCAGGCCAGAGAGAAGCGAGCTCCTCTGTGGTCTCACTGAGACAGGAGTTAGGAGGGCAGAATTAAAGCATGTGATGTTGGTTGCTCCTCATAGACGTATGTCTCTGGGAGTCATAGACCTGTTTCTTTAGAAGCACACGCACGTGGTCACTGGCCGTTGGAAATTCATAGATTCACAGTCCAGGGCTGAACCAGGGTCTTTCTCAAACCAAGCAGCTTCTTGGTGCCCACCCTTCAGTATCCCCTTTGGGGATGGCAGCTAAAAATGACTTTGTGGTAGGTGGATAATTTCTGCTTGTTACTTACTAATAATTATAGCTTTGGCTTTGGCACCTCTCACCATCAAAACCAGGGGCTATTCTTAGACATGCAAGATCTGATTTTCGGATTTCTGCTGGGAATGTGAAGCTGTGACCCTCTCACAAACCCCTTGGCCCTGCTGGGCTGTCCCTTCCGCCCTGCCCCCTGCCTGCTTCCTCCTGGCCGCCCGGAGGTGCTTTGGCGGGGTCTCAGGGTGATCCTGCGGCCTGGGCACCAGGCCAAGCAAGGCCGTTTCCTCAGATCTTTATAGCACAACGAGCTGTCAGA